ACTCAGATAAGATTTGATTTAATTTAAAACAATTTTCTAGCTTGATTTAAGGTGATTTTACAATTAATTCAAGTCGATTCGTGAACTACCTCAGGTTCGATGTGATTCAAGTAAGTTCTTCAAGACTAGAATCTTTTTTCCAAGTCCATCATGAATTATGTCTGTTCAACTGCCACCAAATTGGCACAAGAAATGATTTTGACGACATGAAGTGTTTTTCCGGGAGAACGCAGCATCAACAGGTCCATTCGAACAAAGTCAACTGGCAAAAAGTATGTCCAACCGATATTGAGGCTTCTGAGAATAATAATGACGGTTCAGCATTGAATCACTACGTGCCGATGACCTGGAGGATTATTTTTTCCAATGAAATAAAATATTTGTCCTGGAACACCGACACGGGATACATAGACCACAGATAGAAGACAATGACTATGATTCGGTGAACTGGTAACGATCATTACCAGAAACGATACGCACATCCGCTCGCAAATCAATTCTCTCTCGCGTTTATGGTTGCAACCCCGTGGTGCGACCGGTAGTCAAGGGGAATATCGCCCAGAAATTGTGTGCGAGGGATATTCTCATGGTAGGAGAGTCACTGCTGTATGTAGCTGTTGTACGTATACATTTGAAATGGCACAACCAGCAATGCAAGCACTTCTCTGTATCCTCTGGCCGCCGTCACGCCTGCTGACCACAACTGTACGAGCCTCTGCCGAGGGGACTTCCATGGTCCAGATCGCCTCATACACCCCCATATATTCCGGACATTATATTTGCACAGTATATTTCGACCAATGTACAAAAGGTAATATACCTAACAGTTGTCCTGGCGTATGATTCTTATTAAAGCTCTTCTTTGTTTTGATTTTCTCTCAGCTAAATCCACACTAGACTTATTTTTTTTAGAAGCCGAATTAAAAAGTCTGTTATTATCTGGGTAAAAAAAAATTGTAATCGGAATATTTTTTATGAATTTTCAAAAACATTTCTGGAACATTTTTCGGAAAATTTTTGATTTGAAACAAAAAAAAAATCGGGAAACAAAACAATTTTATTTTTGGAAAATGTTTTGAAAATTTTTTTTTTAATTTGTTTGGGAAATTTTTTTTTATAATTTTCTAGGAATTTTCGCGAATATAATTTTTTCTTTTAATTATACTGCTGTTTTCTTACTTTTTTTATTTTTCAATATTCTCAAAAAATACGCCATCTAAATTATAAAAAAAAATATCCTATTTAAATTTTTGAAGAATTTTTCAAAGCCCTTACCCAAAAATAAAATTGTGTTGTTTTCCAATTTTTTTTCAAAAATTGGAAAAAATATTCCGACTACAATTTTTTTTACCCGAGTAGTCAGTGGATATTATATCTGTATATAATATATTGTATATGTAATATATTATTATCAATTTACAAATGCTAATGAATGCCAGGACTTTAATTGTTCATTGCTTCAGCGTTGGAGGCGAGAAGAACA